TCATTCTCTAAAAAGCAAATTCATATTAAACATAAGTGTATAAGAGATTGTGTGAATGAGAAAGGTAGCTTATTTTAAAAAATCTAATATACATAGTAATGCTCACATTGTAAAACACATTCTTTTCCTGTATACACTGACCATCAGCTGCTTGGTATGTAGAAATGCAGAAAGGGGTTTTAGTTGCATGATTCATGTTGAGCTATGATGCATCTGTTCCCATAATTGAGTTATTCCAGAACAGATTAGATTTGTCAAGTCTCTGAGCTGGGGAACCCTTTCTTTGGAATTTCCTTGAGTTGGACACTGCCAACTTTTGCCTCTCTGTGGTTTCCTTTCCTGTGTTTATGTTGACTCTTCTGAGTCATCTCACATGGTCTTTTCCCAAATAGCTATATTAGACTTCCATTGTATTTATAGTATTTTTATATTGTCTATACAAGAGATGCCCTATGTTTAGATTTTGCCAGGTTACCTTTAAAGGCCTCTGTATGCCTAATTTATAGGTGGTACTTCACTGTCAGTACATATATATTCACTGTGTATGTAAGTCTTAACTCTTTTTCTTTAGATCTTATAGATTGTCTTAAATGCGTTCTCTTGCTGTTTGGAAGCCCCTCAGCTTGGCTTCGTCAGTCTTGTTGGTGATGGCTTCAGATCTTCACTTCAATTTCTGTCTTCAGACCCCTTCTACTTCTCTTTCATTTGCTTTCTTCTGTGTCAGCATATTTTATTTACATTTCTAAGCCTCTGTTTTCTCTGTGCTCACACTATTGCTCTGTTCTTTCCCTCCTAAACAATAATCATACTGTTTTTACAATTCTAACAATGATAGTTCTTGCTTTTGGTTAGAGTTTTGCCAAAGTGTACTGCCATTAAGCAGTGCACTTGGACTTCTGGCAGTATTGGTGTATTAGGTCTGTTCATTGACTTCTGAGTTGTCTGTCAACCAACTTTATAACTCCTGGGTGACAAATGAATTGGCAGCCTTTTAAATCCTAACTTAAAGGCTATATTTGTCCTCAGTTTTGCAAAAATCTAAGTGTTTGGGGAAACCTAAGTCTTAAATATATGAGGTATTCTTTTTGGTTTTAGAGTTCCCTTATCCATTAATGCAAACATAGTATTTCTTAAATTGGAATTTTAAAATTGGAGACAAGCTTTCTTATGATTGGACTGCAACCAAGGACCAACTCTGCCCTCTGCAGTTTATTAGTTAAGTTTGGTTAACAGTGATTAGCAAATGGTATATTATCATCTCATACACCTGCAAAGTTAAGCAATTAGAAACATTTGTTAATATATTTTAATATATAGTTCATCACTTGCTATTAGTTTATTTTATGGATAACTTTTAAAAATGTATCATGACACCATATAATTCTGTTTATGCAACGTGGCAGTTCTTTTTTTTTTTTTTTTTTCCTTAAACCTTGTCTGTGTGCCTTTTCATTTATGCAAAGTATGTTTTTTTTCTAAATGGGTCTAATTTTGAAACAAATTCCTAAGAGGTTAACTTATCTAGGGGGAAAGAAGCCTGATTACTGTGCATTTAAAAAATATATTATGCATTTGAAACAGTGAATAGACTGTGTATTGTTACATTTCTGTTCATTTATTTAACCAATATTTATTGGACATATACTGTGTGCCATGCATTATGTTAGGTGTTGAGATGCAGTGTTGGATAAAACCAGATACTTGACCTTCACAGAATTTATAACCTACTGGAGAAAGACATATTAAAAATAATCAGATTAAAAGTAAAGTATTAAGTTACCAAGTAAAGGTACTTGTGACCCTCTCAGGGAGGCCAGAAGAGACTCTTCATAGAAATGACAGTTGGTCCAAAATCAGGATGAATAGATGTTAACAAGCTGACATAGGAAGAAAGAACATTCTGACCAGTGGAAATGGTAGGTGTAAAGGCTTTGTAGTAGAAGTGAGCATGGTGAGGACAGGGGACTGAAAGGCCAGTGTGGTTCTTCTGAGAACAATTGGAGACCGTTAAAAAGAGTTACGTAAAGGTGTGACATTGGATATGTACTTTAAAAAATTTTATTCTGATGGCATTGTGGATAACTGATTGGAGAGAGGCAAGAATAGGTGCGGAGAAACCAGTTAACAGTATCTCAGCCACGATTGTGAAAAGGTCAAGGTAGGGGAAAAAGTGGTACAATTTGAAAGATAGTTAGGATTTAAGATCAATAGGACTTGGAGATTCATTGTGAAGGATTAAGAGAGCTACCTCTAATGACCCTTAGGTTTATAACTAAAATAAATATGAAACTCCTCTCCCCAACAAAAGAAGGGAAGAGTCTTATTGGAGGTGAAGAACATGAGTTTAAGTGTGAATTTGAGGTGATTTTGAGCACACTCAGAAAGAAATGTCAAGCAGAAAGTTGCACATTTGGGCTTGAAGCTAAAAGGAGTGATCTCAGCTGAAGGTAAAATTTTTGACTCCTCTTTGTTTAGGTGACAAATATGCACACATAAGATCTCCCAGAGCTAAGCAATGTATTGTGAAAAGAAACACTGGCTTGGGACTGCCCCTTCAACTCTTAACATTTTATGAGTGGGTAGAGGTGGATGAATTTTCAAAGAAGATCAAAATAGAGTGAGTAGAAAGGAAAGAAGAAAACTGTCTTGGAAAACCAAGGGAAGAATGTTTGAAGAAAGAGAAAGTGGTCAAAAATGTTGAATTTCCATTGGATTTCAGGGGCGTTTTTGGAAATCATTGATGTCCTTAGTGACATCTTTTAGTAGACTTTATGAGGATGAAAATCAAACTGGGTTTGTGTGGCATGCAGAAATAGAGATACTGAGTTTGGATGTCTCTTTCTAAAAGCTTAATTCTCCACATAACTAAAGAGGGGGTGGTCCTAGTGAACTATGTAATGAGGATGTTTATTTAGTCTCTAATGAAAATGACTCAAGCATGTTTAAAAATCAGTGAGAAACAAATGTGTTAAAAGGAAAAGAATGACAATGCTATTGTAAAGGGATAATCCATAGTAGAGGTTCTAGGAAGGCAGAAGAGAATAGGCTCTAAAAGACAGTTAAAAGATTAACTTCAGATATGTGTAGTGGTATATCTTGTATTGTAACTTTATTCATAAAGGAAGATGGGTCATGGAAGTACATTTGCATTCATGGTAGTAGAAAAATGATGGTCCCCAACTGATAATTATTTTCTCCATGCAATTGAAAGAAAGAAGGGAGGATGGAGACTAGAGGATTCAGGACAGTAGGCAAAAGTTTAAAACAGGCATTGTAGAGTGAATTGAACAGAAAAATATAGGATGGCTAGAAAGAATGGGGGTCCACTTGAGGTTAATTATGATGAATTTATAGTAGACAGAATGTTACAAGTATTTGCTATTGGCATACAACAATGAAGAACTCAGAGTGTTTTTTTCATTCAAGACTATGGTTTCTTAACCAGAGGGATAGGAGTTTAAGAAATTGGCAAGTGTTTATCATGTATCTAAACTGCATAAAAAGAGGAACATGTAAAGGATTGGTGGTCCTAATGAAGTCAAAGATGGTTGTGGTGGGTGGAGTTGAGCAAGCAAGCTGATAGAGGTTGTGATCACAGTGTGGAATATTTGAATTAATGGTTTTAGAAGTTGAATATTATGAATGAAGACAAGGTTGACAGTGTAGCCATGGAAGTAGATGGCTGAGATAGAATAGATTAGGTCTTTAGAAAATAAGAAGTGAAGATATAATTATCAAATGGGCTATTCAACTGGACATGTAAGTTACACAGAATGATGGCAGAACTTAGGGTATAAAGAAGTTGTAAGTTGGTTGCTAATATCTTCAGTGAATAAGGGAATGAATGATGTGAAGGGTAAGAGAAGATATTATTAATTAAATGGAAGAGCCTTAAAGACACAGGATGATGTTGATAATGTTATTTTGGCAAGAAGAATTTGAGGAATTTTGTGTGCCAGGCACTCTTGCAGGACAAAGAAAACACTATATAAATATTACAAGACTCCTATTTTCTAGGAGCTTGCTGTCTATAGAAAAAGACAGCTACGTGAGCCATTAGTAACAATGCAGTGAGGTAGATGCTTTAATGACAGAATCTGTATAGTGGGGGCCGCAGGGATGGAGTGGTTATCTCTAACTGAGGAAGTCATTGAAGGTTTCACTGGAAGGATTATATCGGAACTGAATTTTATGTAGTCCCTAAAGTGAAGAAGGGGAAGAAGGACATTCCAGGAGTAATTTTTAAGATGTATACCTCCTAACTGTGATAGACAAAACATAAACTCCGTGATTACATGCCATTGCACTGAAAGCTACTATGATGTGTATTTTTTTTTATAACTAGAATTTCCATTTCTTGGTCTATAGCTCTGTTTTTTGTTCTTAGAGTTAAACCTTGTTCTCTAGTAGGATGATTTAAAGTATCTATTTGTATATGTGTGGCGGGGGGAGCATTTATGTTGACATGCACATATGCTTGCACACAATGCCCTTGTGTTTGTGGAGCTACTTTTAAAATTATACTTGAAATAATTTAGTACTAAAAATAATGAAAGGTTTGTTTTATAAATAAATAAAATAAATTGCTAATTAAAATAGTCATTCAACAAATTAAATTCCTACCATTATGAGTGAGGCTGTGTTTTAAACGGTGAGAATACAAAGATGAATATGACAGGTTCCGATTTCAGGGAACTCACTGTTTATTGTGTTCCAAGCCCAGCAAGATATAAGTGTAACATTAAAATACTTATCTCGGGCAATACCATGACTTTTTAAAAAATTATAACTTGTTTTTCTTAAGCCCTTAGACACATTTTTACACTGCTGATTTATTCCTTCACTATTTATCGAAGAGGTTTGATTACATCAAGCTATGAATATAGTTAGACAAAAAAGGTAAAGTGGTAGACTAAGTCTACAATATTAAGACTCAAAATAAAGTGTGTTTGTTCCTGAAGTAAGTGTGTTTCTTCTAATTATGACTTTATTCTTCAAAGGTTGTGAAGATGAGAAAAGAAGTGAAGAGAATTCGAGTTTTGGTTATCCGAAAACTTGTCAGGAGTGTTGGCAGACTGAAGTCAAAAAAGTTAGTCATTTAAAGTCATGAACTTGTGACTAATAAAATGTCAAAAGTTGTTTTTATTTGATGCTTTAAAATGTTTAGGGTGGGATATAGAGAAGTAATCAAATATCTTACTCATACAGCATTTTTGTTTCGAATGTGGAGATGATGTGAGATAGAATGTGCTGTGTCAGCATGCCCTTCTATGGTTTGGACATCATTGCTCAAGATACAGGATGAATTTTTCTGCTGCTTTTGCAAAACTCTCTTTTGGTCTCTTCAGAATAAAATTCCCTTGGGCTTATCTGTTTTATGTTATTAGAAGTTATTGTAAGATACTGATACAGCTTAACAAATCTAGTAATACCTTAACAATCAGTTTTGAAGATTTTATATCACATTTTTTCTTGAATTGCTAAGCAATTTGAAATCTTCAGTACCTTGTGAAAGTGTTTATTAGAACATTGTGTTCCATGTAATTTTTTTGAAAAATACAGTATTTTGTATTTTCAGTATCATTAGTGTTAGTGAAAAAGTATTTTATTTATAGTTCTTCTTATAATGTAAGCATGAATACTTAGCCTTCAGATATGTTTTGTTCCTGATTAATTTCCTGCTCTTTCATAAATATGTCAGAATATAGCTCTTCTTTATTTTTTCTTAAATTCCAGAGAGCAAATTTTCATTAGATAAAATTGTAGCCAAATTCTAATTGTAACTTACGAAATTTATATTACATTAAATATACTATTGATTGATTAAAAAAGTGTTGTTAAGGAACTAGAGAAGGCAAACTATCAGCAATGATAGTCATTAATACAATGCCAAGACAGTACTTATTTTTGCCAGTTACTGACATATGGGTTTGTTTAGTAAATTGAGGTTTCCTTTGGGAGTGGGGAAAATGGGCAGTGTAGGATAGTGGCGTGTTTGTTGTTTAGAGATTTATTACACTTTTCTAAAAAGAAATGAAGTGATTATCCATTACAGTATGAGTCTAAAAATTAATGCTTTGCCTGGCTACATATTGTAATGTATTTTTTGCAGGGGTACTGAAGATGCACTGTTAAGAAACCAAAGACGGGCACAACGATTGCTTGAAGAGATCCATGCCATGAAGGTAAGGACTTCTGTGGGTGTGAATGTGCGTATGTTTCTGAGTATCCTGTTATCCTGCATTTTGTTTGTGTGTGGTATTGCTTACTTGAATATGCTTGAGAGTTGCCTAAGATATCTTGTATCAGTCTATTTGGAGAAAATGTAGTACATTTAGAAAATTGTAATGTTTAAGCTTGCATTTTTCTGTTTTTGACTGAATTTGTTAAAGTGCTAGGCTAATTTGAGTCAAAATTGTGCCAAACTAAATTCATCTATGTTTAATAATGCCTCATGCCTCAGGTTTTTAATTTTTACTGTAACTTTAACATGAAGTCAGTTCGAGAATTAAAGTCTTCACGCTATTTGGGAATGTGGATGGTGATATTGGTGGCTGACATCATGCTTTCCTTGTTGCCAACTCAATAAATTTTATGTATTGGTATCTGCATTTTATTCAGTTCTGTAGTAACTTCAAGTAAAATTAGTGTTAGGCCAACATGATCCCATATTTTTGTTTTTTTTCAGTCAGACTCTTCACTAGCATAATTTTTAGGTCTTCTCGCTGCTCTTACTTTGAGGAAACTTTCATTTACCAAATGACATGACATTAAATGTCTGGGAGACGGTTTTACTGTAGAACTTAAAAACAACATTTGGTCCCAGCAATTTTCTTAATTGCAGGGTCATTTTGCATGCATGTTTGCCTATTATATTTTGGTATAACTTTCAAGTTTTGAATTAGGTAAAAGAGAAAGAAAACTCTCTAACAATATTTTAATTGAGTTAGGTTATCAAAGCTTCTCACCCTTTCTTCCTTTTAAAGGTATACTAAAGTGTTTAATAGGACAAAGTTATCCCAGTTAATCTGAATAAAAACATCTAGGAAACGACTCTTTGATATGAAGTATATTTGTTTCTTGTGTTCTTCCCTCCCCTCACTGCACACTCTCGTAAAATTCATGGAATCCATCTGATAAAACTTTTCTTTCTCAAAGGTATAATCCCCTTTGTATCCAGTCATTCAAGAAGAAAAAGTATTCTGTATTTGACTGTCAGTGATGATTTGTGTCTCTGTGGTTTGCAGATTACTTAGTCTTTTTCATATACCTTTTTTTAATGATAGTCCTATGAGAAATAAAATCTTTAGAGATTTTGCCTTGAGAATAGCAATAAAATAGGAAGTTACAATTTATCTTTCACTTTCTCTTAACCAAGGTTCTTACTAAATTACATTGCCTACCTAAATTTTTCCCTGTAATTTCTTCTGAATAGTCATTTTTGTAGTCTTAAATTATTCAGAGGCTTTGAGCTACTATATAATTGCTGATTTTATTTTACCATGGAAAGAATGTAGTGTGTGTGTGTGTGTATGCATGTATATATATACACATACACACACAATGTATAGTTGGCTACTCTGACTTTAACTTCTTTTGTAATGCTGTTTAAAAACTGGAATAAACTGGAATTTAAATATTTATATATATATGTAAAATATATATATGCACACACTACATTCTTTCCATGGTTTATTATATATAATAACTTGTATGCAGTGTACGAAGAGTTTGAGAACAAAAGATACTCAATCTTTAGAATACTTCCCTGTTGTAAATTTCAGTGATACATTTGGTTAAGTTAATTAGAAAGAAAAGTTGTCCTTTTTGATCTAAATGTAAAGCCTGTTTTCTTTTTTTTTTGTTTTGAATCTCATCAGCAAAGGGAAATCTGATTCAGTGATAAAGTTTGTAGTTTACAAGATTACCACATCACTACCGTGGTTTGGTTTGGTTTGGTTTGGTTTGTGTTCTATTTTTCACTGTGATTATGCAATGGAATGGTTGCATCATAGAAAGCCAAATTCATAGCCTAGGTATTCCTTGAATTCATAAAATTCATAGTATGTATATGTCTTGAATTTGTAGCAGGAATTAGGGCATACTGGGTTGGCTACTGTGACTTCAACTTCTTCTGTAATGCTTTTTAAAAACTGGAATAAATTTAAATATAAAGTGAATACTAGAAAGACTATATATTTGCTGTTCTTAGATGTCAAATTTTATTCCTTATTTATGGTTCTTTTACAAATTTTTTTGTCTTTTCTAAACAAAGCAAATACATACAGCATTTTTCTTAATTAATAGGTCATTTGTAATTTTCTTAGGAAGTGGTTATTACCTACTTGAGAGTATCAAATAAATGGTGACAAAACAAACTCTCAGTCTTAATTAAATTTGGAGAAAAGACCTCTGTTTATTTATTTTTCCAGAGAAATTTTTTCCTTGGCTCAGATACTGCTTCATTTTTATAGTCTTATTGATGACATACTGTCCTATTCTTGCTTTCTATAATAATAGGGTATTTTGTTGCAGGATGACTTCTTTGTGAAGAAATCCTGAGTATTTTTAGAAATGAGAGTTTGCTTTTTCTGCCCAACCAAGAAAAAAATTGACTTGATCTTTATCCTTTAAAATCATAGGTTCTAATTTTATAGACTATGGTGTATGAAACCCAAGTCTTTGCTGCCTTTTCTAATAGTGTCTATACTTTTAACTTTGATATTAGTAGAAATATTGGCTTCTAAAACAGTTTCTTTTTCTTTGAAAGTTAGTTAAATTAGCTATCAACATTTAAAGATCAGTAAGTTACTTAGCTGGAAAAGGAGATGGTAAAATTCAAACATATACTGAAATTACTCAAAATGTGCAACAAATCTCTTACTCGATAATGAAAGTAACAACTAGCTTTTACTGAGCATTTACTATGCGCCAGGCAATATATGATGTGTTTTATATTTACTGTCTCACTAGGTAGATACCATTTTTATCCCTGTCTTACAGAATAGGAAACTCAAGCTTAGAGAAATTCAGCAACTTATAACTGATTATAAAGCTAATTATGTTATCCACTGTAGTATACTGCTTCAGTAAGATGAGAACATCCTATGATATAGCTAGACACTTTCCTAGATATTGGAGGAGATAATTTAATAAACATGAAATTTGATATCTAGGAAAAAAAAGACCCAAAGATGTGCAACATGTCTTCAGATCCTTTAATTCCTCACAGGTAAATATACACAGTAGCCTATATCTGTATTTCTTTTTTTTTTTATTTGAGACGGAGTCTCTCTCTGTTGCCCAGGCTGGAGTGCGGTGTCCCCATCTCTGCTCACTGCAACCTCCGCCTTCTGGGTTCAAATGATTCTCCTGCTACAGCCTCCTGAGTAGCTGGGACTACAGGTGCCTGCCACCACGCCTGGCTAACTTGTATTTTTAGTAGAGACGAGGTTTTGCCATGTTGACCAGGCGGGTCTCAAACGCCTGACCTCGGGTGATCAGCCTGCATCGGCCTCCCAAAGTGCTGGGATTATAGGCGTGAGCAACCACTCCTGGCCTATCTGTATTCTTTTTTAACCTCTTCCTCTCTAAGGCTGTTATTTCTTCCTATCCTGAATATTCTTAATATGAGAATTTATGTGTTCTTCTTTGAGACCTTGTTCTGCCTGCTACCTCTTCTCCTCTAGTTTAAAACTCTCTCCTTTTGTTTTATTCTTCACCTAGTTTTATATTCTGAAATCTATTATTAAAACCAACCTTTGAGCTTGTAATCAGTAGTTAGGATCACTTTGTCTCAGGCTTCTGCACAGCTTAATCCTAAGTGGTTGTCATTAGGAGATCACAAATCGAAAAAAATAGTATAGGTTATAATCTGTAAAGGCATAAAAGTTAAGTGAAATGATATATCATCAAAATAATATAATTATCATATCATTTGAACCTCATCACAACTCTAGGGAGAATCCCATTTCAGAGGACATGTTCAGAAGTATTCTAGGCTGCGTATACCCCTTAGATTGGAGGTTTATTGTTGTATGTATTCATATACTCTTTAGAATTTTGTGATGTTTCTGGTTATATATGCTTTTTAAAAAGTTATTGAGTTTTTTTCTATAGTTTCACATACTGTGGTTTTGGTAAATTTTTTTCCTATGAATGCCTAAACAAGTTCCTTCATAGGGTAAAAGATACCTTATTGAAGCCTGTAAGTACACTGTACTGTGCTAATTAGCTATGTCAACTTGACATTTTGTTCGTTTATTCTATGAAAGTAATCATATTAAAAGTATCATTAATCTTACACTATAATTATTTCTGACAATTTTATTTGTGAGCTAATATGTTATCAAATCAGACTCAATGTGTTAGAGCTCTTACCTAGAATCAGCTTTACTAATAATTGTAAAGATGCAAATAGTCAAAGGGGACAGGTGAAGCAAGGAGAGAGATCTGGGACTCTATGTAATTCCACAGGCCCTTCCTTTCCACATCAGACGTGTACTTTCTAGCGCAGAGTCTCCAAATGAGGAAGTCTGGTTATTACCTCATATCAGAGAGCATTTACATTTTGAAACTTCTCCATGTAATATCCTCAGGTTATATAGCTTACATGATATTCTCCAGTGTGCCAGACTTCATAAACCCATAAATTCTGGGTTTGTTTATTTTAAGCATCCTTAACAAGGGACAGCCTACTAAGATCATTCTTCAGATAAGGACCCTCCTCCTAACAAAAACTCATTAACCTATCTACCAGAGGGACTGCTTACCATCATGTTAACACGAAGACTAAACTGCATCACTTCCCTTTCCTAGAGTTTCCTCCTGTTAAAGGAAATGAATAGATCCCAAGATAGCTACTTTAATTCTCCCCTCCCTGATATGTAATAATCTTCCTTTTAGCTTTTCTTTTGTGTTTCATGATGTATAATACTGTATTTATACTTTTAACTTCCAACTTTTTGGAAAATACTTCAAACCTATAGAAAATTGTAATACTGCAATATGATAATAATAGTGCATTGTATCACATGCATTTTTGTACCTTTACTATCAGCGCTGAATTTTCTGGCACTTGATTTAAGTGCCATATGCCAGATTTCTCCATTGTAAAGGTATCTTTTCGGTTTGCTGTTACTAAGTAATCTGTGAAATGATACTGTGAGACTGTGTGAATATCCTG